TTAACTAGCCAGACTTTGAAGGGATAGTTCCCTCTAAAAAACAGACTATAACCAGACTTAAACTAACCAGGCTTTAACAAACCAGACTTTAACTAACCACTTGACAGACTTAAATTTACTCGACTTGCACTAACCAGACTTTACTAGCCAGACTTTGAAGGTGTAGTTCCACTCAAAAACTAGACAGACTTAAACATACTAGACTTAAACTAACCAGACTTTAACTACCAGACTTTAACCACTAGACACACTTTAACTTACTAGAATTGCACTAACCAGACTTTAACTAACCAGACTTTTACTAGCCAGACTTTGAAGGGATAGTTCTCCCAAAAACCAGACTATAAACAGACTTAAACTAACCAGGCTTTAGCAAACCAGACTTAAACTAACCAGACTTTAACTAACCACTAGACAGACTTAAACTTACTAGACTTGCAATAACCAGACTTTAACTAACCACTATAACTATTTAACTAGCCAGATTTGAGGGCATAGTTCCCTCAAAAAACAGACTTAAACTAACCAGGCTTTAACAAACCACACTTTACCTAACCGGACTTTAAGTAGTCAGACTTTAAAGTCTGACAAGTTAAAGTCTGGTTAGTTAAAGAAATAGTTCACCCAAAAATGAAAGATTCCTGTTAATGTACTCACACACAGGGTCATCCAAGGTGTAGGTGTCTTTTTTCTTCAGTAAAACATAACAGAAAATATTGAACCCTTTCTCTGTGGTTCATGATTATTTATATAATGGCAGTGAATGGTGGCAAGTTTTTTTAGAATAAAAATAAACACATGCAAACAAGTCCCAATCAATAGCCGTGGCTCCTGATGACGCACTGACGTCTTGTAAAGTGAAATGATCACTCAGTGTAAAAAATGAACATCTTTTATAATATGACTAGCTTTAATCCACAGCATCGTCATATAGGTCTAAGCCAGGGGTCACCAATCTCGGTCCTGGAGGGTCGGTGTCCCTGCAGGGTTTAGCTCCAGCTTGCCTCAGCACACCTGCCTGAATGTTTCAAGTATACCTAGCAAGAGCTTGATTAGCTTGTTCAGGTGTGTTTGATTAGGGTTGGAGCTAAAATCTGCAGGACACCGGCCCTCCAGGAACAAGTTTGGTGACCACTGGTCTGAGCGCATATGGAAATGTAGAGTAAATGTATTTCAGGGAGCTGATGTTAGAATATTTCATTTAAATTATTGGTTGTTTTTTCTTAATCTTATTAGTACTGTTAAACGCACTACTGCCTCTAAGCTGTATTCTAGTAAAAGCAGGGTATTTGTGCACTGTTGCATGATGGGTCAATAAAAAAATACAAATAAATTACAAAAACTAAAACCAGTCCAAATGACCACCTCGTAGTTCTAGTTTTAATGTTCCACTGGAATAAAGCTACATCGGATGAGCTGTGGGTGAGTAAATTAGCAGGATAATTTCTCTTCTGGGTGAACTGTCCCTTTAACTACTCTATCAACACTGCTGGAGCGCCATCTGGTGGCGGCACTTAGAGTAACGTACCGGGTTTCTATGGGAAATGGAGGTGAATTAGAATTTTTAATGCTTAAATGTGTGCTTGAAACTGCTTCAAAATGTAATTGTGTCACTTTTGTGATAATTTATTTTAGTAAATAGGTAATAATGATTATTTAAATAAAATAGATCTCTGATTTTTCATCAAAGTTTATGTGGGTTTCTGTCTCTCTCTCTCTGTGTTTGGGTTTGTGTGTGTGTGTGCAGGCGAGTGTGTTCTGGCTCTGAAGTCTATGATCGGCAGCACAGCGCAGCAGTTTCACACGTATCTCTCTCACCGCGGCGAGGAAACCGGAAACATCCGCGGCTCCATGAGGGTCCGCGTGCCATCAGAGCGCATGGGCACCAGAGAACGGCTCTACGGTGAGAAACACACACACACACACACTCAATCACACATTAATTACACCGACTGTGTGTGTGCTGAGAGCCACAGATAAAAGGCGGAGCTTAACAGTTAAACTCCGCCCCTACTCAATATTCATCTTCAGTTGGAAATACATCATCAAACTTAATTTCCTTAAGCTGATAATAATCTTTATGTGTGTGTGTGTGTGTGTGTGTGTGTGTGTGTGTGTGTGTGTGTGTGTGTGTGTGTGTGTGTGTATGTGTGTGTGCTCCTCAGAGTGGATCAGTGTGGATAAAGACGACATGGGCGGCCCAAAGGGCAGAACTCTTCCTCCTCGATCATCACATGATTATGTAAAGTGAGTCTAAACACACACACACAAACACACACACACACACACACCCACACACACACAGTAGCAGTGTTTCCATCCAAAGATGCCTATTAGCAGTGTTAATGTGAAGCAGTTAAACGCAGTGACGCTTCTGTTCCTGCAGACCGACCAGCAGCAGCAGCAGCATCAGGAAACACGGATCAGCAGAACTCAGCAGAGTCTCAGAGGAGGGAGAGAAGAGCAGCACCAGCAGACACACACACACTAAAGAGGAGAACACGCACAACAGGTCTACACACACACACACACCCATACTGAGTTGAGTTTAAAAGTAAAGTTAGTTTACGGTGCATTCACACGGGGTGTCAGCGTCATGTTCGACAGTGGGCGTGTCTGAAGTTGGGGCTGACGCGATCATCATAGCAGCATCAGCCAATGAAATTAGTCCGCAATCAACTACTGTCTGAGCTGGTGTATTTGCATACAGCGATCTGATTGGCTGACGCTTCAGTCGGCGCTTGAAAAGTTGAGAAAGTTCCAACTTCTGCAGCGAGCAACGCCACTGAAACGGTGCCAACAGATCCACAATGCAGTTCAGCAACGCCTGACGTCACCTATTCAAAGTGAATGGGAAGCCTTTACACTGTGAATGGGCCGTTAGAGCTGTGCGTGTCTAGAGTTTTGTGAAAGGGCATCGGGGTTCTGAGATATGAGGGAAAATAATTGTCAAACAACCGTAAACATAATTTGAGTGATGTTTAAATAATTATTAATAACTATTGAGTGAAACGAATCTTTGTTTCTCCAACAGAGGCAAGCAGGATCCATTTGAGAGCGACGCCACAACATGCAAAAACAGCTTCAATAACCCCGCCTACTACATTCTAGAAGGCGTCCCCAACCAATCAGCTGCTCTGGCTTCTGATATACTCCCAGGCTCCGCCCTCCCTCCGCTGGCCAATAAGACGACGGCTCCCCCTGCTGGCAGTGTGGGGAAGAGCAAACCTCCCAGTGGAAGCTCCGCCCAGGGCCGCTGGCAGACATCTGGACGCTCGGTTCGACCAATCAGTGAAGAGGGCTCATCAGAGGATGATGGGAATATTGGACCCCACGCTGGCTCGCTGAACCGCCCCCCACCGGATTTCCCTCCACCGCCACTGCCCAAGGCTGCTCTGGAGATGTCAGAAAACTCATTCGGGAAACCGCGGGTATTTTCAGATCTCGCTGACGGTAAAATCCCCCCGCCGTCCAAACCATTGGTGTCTCCCGGCTTGACTCCACCCCCAGGAGGAGGTAGGGCTCTGTGATAAAAAAAATTTTACTTTATATGTTACAAATGCAATGTAAACAAATAAAATAAATTCTTCATATTAAAGATCCTGCATGTAGTTAAAGATCGTTTACATTTAATTAGTTAACTTTACATAGTTTACAAATGACGAAAAGATGAAATGAGCGTTTAAGTTTGTATAGCAAAGAATTTTCTGTATGTAGTCTTGCGTTTAGTCTTTGCTGTATATAATCTGACGTGTTCGTGTGTGTAAAAGCGCCATCTACTGGTGATTCTCAAAACAGCCACAGCTCAGGTTTTCCGTCAGTTTATTCTGAACACAGTTATTGTTTTGCTATTTAATTTCAGTTCTTTTTCAGTGATTGTTGATAGTTTCGTTTAGTTTAGTTGTCAATTATTGTGATCTTTTAAAAAAAAAATTATTTTAATTAACGAAAATGTTTCCACCAATAGTTTTAGTCTTAGTTTTAGTTTATAAAAATAACATCGATATGACTGCATATTCGAGCATATACTTTAAAATGTCAAGAAGAGTCACTTATGAGTGGTCAATATTAACTGATTATGAATATATTGTGTGTGTGTGTGTGTGTGTGTGTGTGTATATATATATATATATATATATATATATATATATATATATATATATATATATATATATTATATAAATAGTCCAAACACATGCACTATAGGGGAATTGATTAACTAAATTGGCTGTAATGTATCAGTGTGTGTGTAAATGAGTGGTTATGGCTGTTTCCCGATACTGGGTTGCAGCTGGAAGGGCATCCGCTATGTAAAACATATGCTTAAATAGTTGGCGGTTCATTCTGCTGTGGCGACCCTTAATAAATAAAGGAATTAAGCTGAAGGCAAATGATTGAATAAATACTGTTATCAGGATATATGACTCTGTGTTTTGCTCATTTCGTCCAGCCCCAGGAGGAGGCGTGGCCTTCTGTATAGAGTCTCCACCTGTGTTGAGTCCAAACTCCGCCCCTTTCCGTAGAGGGGGCGGCGCCTCAGCGCTGGATGATCAGTCGTGTTCGGTGCTCCAGATGGCCAAAACCCTGAGTGAGGTGGAGTATCCATCGGGCAGGGAGCGCGGGGCCTCACAGGGGCCGACAGGGCCACAGCTGAGGGGTCTGAGCTTCCCTTCACATCCCATCCAGGAGGAGAGCATCGCTGAGGACCTGCCGGAGGAGGTGAACACACACCAATACTGAACCAATGCTATTAAAGGGGAGCTATTATGCAGAACTTGTGTTTATGCAGGGTTTGAACTCAACAGGGTGTGAATATCTCCAGCCTCTAATGGGAAAAATGAGTTAACTGTGTTTGTTCTAATCAGACTTATTAAACACTTTGATTGACATTCTCCATTTGTACGTGTCATCAGAGGGGAAAAGCCCCGCCCACTAGTGCCCATCTCTTCATCTCATTAGCATCTTCAGCAGCCCTGAGTGAGAAGCAGCCGTCTGTCCATTAGCCATTAGAGTGTTTGAGCTGCTGAAGATAATGTCAGCATAGACTAAGAGGATTATAGATGTGGAGTTTCTGATAACGTGTGTGTGTGTGTGTGTTTAGGGGGGTCTGTGGGGTGCTGAGAGCAGCAGCAGTAGTCTGTCAGTGGACTGCAGTGTCGGCGAGTGGCTCCAGAAGCTCGGCCTTCAGCATTATGAGGAGGGACTACTGCACAATGGCTGGGATGACCTGGAGTTCCTCAGGTACACACTCACACACACCTTATAGATATACAGAAATGCAATGGAAATTATTTTCCCATTACCATAACGAACTTTAGACATCAAATTGCATTATAAACATTATCATACATTATAATATTTAAAGCAAATTTAAATTGTGTAGATGCACCACAAAAGTATTATAGATTAATATTATATATAATAAATTGTGCTATGAAGTTAAAAATTAAATTTTAGCAATTTTTCAGTGTAATCTTTGGTGTTTGTTAGTCATTATTCATGCAATAATAAAGGATAATGCATAAGGAATAAATAATGTCACATGATGCCTGTTACTTTTCTCATCCGCTCATCAATAGTTGATTAAAGTATTCATCCAGTGCTTGATATGCTCATCCAATCACATCTCTCTGCTGCAGTGACATCACCGAGGAGGATTTGGAGGAGGCAGGGGTTCGTGACCCCGCCCACAAGAAGATCCTGTTGGCCAGCCTGAAGCAGCAGCAGAAGTGAGCCAATCACGATCCGGCCTCAGCAGCTGTGCCTTCCTGACAAATATTGCACTGGTGAATCTGACCTGAGAACAGTTTTAATTTAATCAGATGTAATAAAGTTGGTCGTTTATAGTTCAGCATTTTATTTAAACCAGTTTCACTACAGCCCTGCCCTCAGCTTCCTGTCGTCAGGAGGAAGTGACATCAACAGAACATTCCTCACCTCCAAAGGTGACTGAAGCGTTAACTATTAATAACTGCATGCTAAGGAAAGGGAAAAAAGCCAAATCATTGTGACTTGAAGATGTTCCCTGATGACTTGTGTGTATTTTGTGAGTTTTTGTGTTGTGTAATTTGTATGGAAACTTTCATTTACAGTCTGGTCGCCAGGCGAATATCAGACTTTTATTATGACACACCCACCACACAGTTAATATAAGAGGACTTTAAATATGGCAAACACTCCTAATTCAGATAATAAAGAGGACTTTTATTATGATACTCTCATAAGTGAATATGAAAGGATTTTTATTATGAAACTGCTGGTTAAACAACCTGAGGACTTTTATTTGCAGACACCAGTCAGCAAATACAAAAGGACTTTTATTATGATACACTCATTTGTGAATATGCAAAAGTACTTTTATGATACTGCATGTGGAAAAAGCTGAGGGCTTTTATACAACACTCATCAGTCAGAAATATAAGAGGACTTTTATTATGACACTTTAATGACTGCAAATATAAGAGGACTTGTGTTATGATAAACACTTCAGTCAGGAAATGAGGACTTTTAACAGGATACTCATATGAAAGGACTCTTAATATGATGCTTCAAGAGACTGTCAGAGGACTTTTATTATGACATGCTTATCAGTCAGAGAATTTAAGAGGATTAAAGACATCAAAGGTAAAAAAAAATCGGGACTTTTATTACAACACAGTTAGCAATAAAAGAAGAATTTTTATTATGACTGCCAATAGTGAACTCGAGAAAGGACGTATTATGACACTGCAAGTGACTATCAGAAGACTTTTATTGTGACATGCTTATCAGTCAGCAATTTTACGACTCATGACACTGCAGGTAAAAAAAAATCTGAGGGTTTTTACAATTCCAATTAGAGGACTCTTATTATGACAGTGTGTGGTCAACAGATAAATATGTTTTATTATAACATGCCAATCAGCTGTTAAAAATCAGAGGACTTTTACCAGTGTTCTCTGATAATTTACATGACTGTGTGTCTAAATAAAAGTCCTCTAGCGTCCACCTGTCTTAATAAAAGGACTTGTTAAACTGTCTGGTCAGCAGGTGAAAATTGGAGGACTCTTATTATGATAATGTGGTCAGCAGGTAAAACTATTTGTGGACTTATTTTAACTCTCCAGTCAGCTGGCGAAATATCAGAGGAGTTTTATTCACCTGCTGATTGGAGCGATTAAAACTATAACACCTGTCATAATAAGAGTCCTCTGATAATTCGCCTATTGATGAGTGTTAGATTGTTTTAATCTGATGATTTTATTACTCAGTCTGTTCAGCGGGTGAAAATCAGAGGACTCTTATTTTGACAATGTGTGGTCAGCAGGTGGCGCTGCAGCTTCATGTTTATTTGTGTTTTAGTTCTGAGAGTTTCAGATGAGTTTGTTTCCTCGTTTCACTTATAATCTGTTTTATTTAACAGTGTCTTTAATATTGTTATAATTATTATGGGGTGTTTCTCCTGAATGCATGCGTATGTTCCAGCAGAATATCGTTGTTTAAACTTTATTCATTTCCCCCCTTCCCTTATTTCCGTATAATCATAATCCTCTGAACATTAATATCTGTTATTGTGTTAATATTTGTGTTTAATGGCTTTCTGTTCATTTTCAGTTTAATAAAAACTAAAATCTAACATGCCTTCATGTTGTCAAATTTAATTGATTAGTGACTTTATATGTTTATAAAATGCTTATTAAATGTGTGTCTCATGTTTAAAAAAAAATTTTTTTTATAATAGATACATAATATTAGAGGACTCTTTTTATAATTGTGTGGTTTGCAGGTAAAAAAAATGAAAGAGCTTTTATTATAAAACTATCAGCAGGTGAAAAATCAGAGGGCTTTTAGTTTCTGGTCAGCAGGCGAACATTAGAGGACTTTTATTGTGACAGCGTGATCAGCAGGTGAACAAAACAATGAGGACTTCTATTATCTATTAAAACTATCAGCTGGTGAAAAATTTTTATTATTTTATTATTACACTTCAATTAGCAGGTATAATTCAGGGGACTTTTATTTTTACACCAATCAGCAGGTGAAATAGCAGAGGACTTTTATTATAACAACAATCAGCTGGCAAAAATTATAAGGGTTTTTATTATAACGCCAATCAGCAGGTGAAAATTAAGAGGACTTTTATTACAGCACCAATCAGCAGGTGGAAAAATCAGAGGACTTTTATTATAACACCAGTCAGCTGGTAGAAAATCAAAGGACTTTTTTAAACTCCAATCAGCAGGTGAATAATAAAAGTCCTCTAAACTGCACCAGCTAAACACAGTCATAATAAGAGTCCCCTGATAACTGACATACTTTGAGGACCGTGAAACTAAATGTAGTGACGTTCACCTCTTGAGTGTCATAATAAAAGAAATGCTTGTTTTTGTTTATACCTGAGGACATTTATTGCCTTCATGTTGTCGAGTTTTTAAATTTAATTGGCAGTGGTTTTATATTAAAAGTTATCTTATTAAATGCGTGTCATATCTGAAGTATCAATTACATTTATTTCAATCATTAGTAGAAAAATCAAAAAGGACTTTTATTATAACACTCCAATCAGCTGGTAAAAAAAACTCTAGACTTGTGGTCAGCACGTTAAAAAAAATAAGATGACTTTTATTTTAACTCTCTAATCAGCAGGTAAACAATGAAAGTCCTCTAAACTGCACCAATGACTGTAAAAAATATGGACGACGCGACAGCCCTTTTTCCCATTGAACGCCTTGAGGGCAAAACGCCTGCTTGACGGGCACAAACTGTCGCAAAAGACAAAAGAATTGGAGCCTTGACATGCGCAGAAGGACTGTCTGATGGAGCCAGAGGAGGAGCCGTGAAAATGAGTGGAGTCGAGCTTCCAATCAAACGCTTTATGTAAAATCAACCACGCCCCCCGAACTTCTCAGCATGCGTTTGCTGTCATATCAACACAAATGGATGTAATAACGTTAACAAATATGAGGGTTTTATATATTCAATCGCGCCAGCTCCGGGCCGCCGCATCTGGCTCGATTGACTCGGGCTGGAATCGGGCAGTGAGTCCAGGCATCCGGAGTAGGTCCAGCAGAGGTAGTCAGTCTGAGCTCTGAGGGGTAAGTCTCCGGCAGCCGGAACTGTGTTTTGCTATCTGGGTGGTTAGGCGTGTATCAGCAAACTAATAAAGCCCGAAAAAAGCCCTGAAATTAGCGAATAAACAGTGTTCCACCAGATCATGTATGTCGGAAACTATAGTTTACTGCTGAACTCATTTTCTTTGAGAAACTGTCAATCACAGCTGTCAATCACGATGACACGCCCAGCATTAAATTACTGCTAAAAACAAACTGTTTACAAAAATGAAGATCTGCACCTATTTCAGCACAATAACCAGTGCCTTAATCCACCAGAACCATCTTTCGGGACATTTTATTGCAAGTGTAATTAATTTTTTTATTTGGGCTCAAGTCTCCTTCATTAACACAGAGGAGGCGGGCTTTATGACTTGTACTGCAGCCAGCCCCCAGAGGGCGATCTAACGGCCGAAACCTTCACTCAAACACAGGCTTGCGGCACACTTGAACTGCACCTGCTAAACACACTATCATAATAAGAGTCCTCTGATAATTCCCCTTTATTATAACACCCCATTCAGCAGGTGAAAAATCAGAGGACTTTTATTAGCCTCTGATCAGCAGGTAAAAAAAACTCAAGTACAAGTGCCCTGTCATACTATCAGAACTGTGTAAATAAATGTCACCTAATTTTCACCTGTTGTGTGTTAAAATAAGAACACAGTCCTGTTTTTTTTTTTTTTTTTTTTTTACATGAGGACTTCTGTTGCCTTCATGATGTCAAGTTGTTGAATTTAACTGACAGTGGTAATTTTATATTTTAAAAAAGTTGAGGACTTTTATTATAACTCTCCAACCAGCTGGTCAAAAAATCTCGACTTTTTTTTATGGGCGGCAGATGAAAAAAAATGAGAGGGTTTTCATTATAACCCTATAATTAACTTGTGACAAATAAATGCCCTCTAAATGCACCTGCTTAACAAACTATCATAATAAAAGTCCCCTGATAATTCACATGTAGACCATGTAAACAAATATACTCTGACGTTCACCCATTGAGTGTAATAATAAAAGTCCTCAGATTGTTTTTTTTTTATACCTGAGGCCTTTTATTGTCTTCATGTTGTGGAATTGTTAAATTTCATTGGCATTGATTTTATATTAAAAAGTTATCATATTAAATGCGAGTCATATCTGAAGTTTTAAATACATTTAGTTTAAAAATTTAAAGGACTTTTATTATAACACTCCAATCAACTGATGAAAAAATCCAATCAACAGATTAACAATAAAAGTCCTCTAAAATGCACCTGCAAAACACACCATCAAAATAAAAGTCCCTTAATAATTCACATACTTTGAGGACCGTGTAACTAAATGTACTCTGACGTTCACCTGTTGACTTTCACAATAATAGTCCTCAGATTGTTTTTTTTTTATATACCTGAGGACTTTTATTGCCTTCATGTTGTAAAATTATTCAATTAATTGGCAGTGATTTAATGTTAAAAAATTATCTTATTAAATGTGTCATATCTGAAGCTTCAAATGCATTTAGTTTAAAAATGTAGAGGACTTTAAAGGACTGAAATTCATGTTGTCAAAATGTTGAATTTAATTGACAGTAGTGACATTTATAAAAACAAAAAAAGAGGACTTTTATTATAACACTCCAATCAACTTGTGAAAAATAAATGTACCTGCTAAACACGCTATCATAATAAGAGTCCCCTGATAACTCACATACCATCAGGACCATGTAAATAAATGTACTCTGATGTTCACCTGTTGAGTGTCATAATAAAAGTCCCCTTTTTTACTAAGGACTTTTATTGCCTTCCTGTTGACTTATTAAATGCATTTCATGTCTGAAATTTCAAATAAATTTAGTAGAAAAAGGTGAAAATATTTTATGATATGTGCATGTCTTAAGATAATTTTATGACGAAATACAAATGACGCTCTTTATTGATTCTCAGTGTCTTTATTCAGTGACTTTTTTGATTAATATATACAGCAGGTCATTCAGGAAACACAATGGCGTGCACTGGAGCCAGAAAACATAAAAAAACCTACATCGTATTTATATTAATATTTACAAAATATTTCTCAATAAAAGCCTAGCTTAAAAAAATCATCTGACCTTCCCAACAGTTTTTGTTTAGTTTTTTTCTTTTTTTTTTCTTTAATAAATTAACTACATGTGGCTTAACTACGCTTATTTCTGGGGTCACACACACACACTTAGACAAATAAACACAAACACACTCGTCTCGCTCGCTCTTATAGACAGAAATACACACAGAAACAAGCATTGCACACTCAAACACACACAATCACTCACAATTTCTCTCTTACACATTCATGCAAACACACAAACATCTCTCTCACACACACACTGAACAGAAGTGCCGACAGGACAGTAAGTAAAGCACATCAGCGTACAGTAAGAGCTGATCTGGGATCATCAGTTAATGCACCATTAAGATGAAACTGGCCATCATGTTTGCTTGTTTCTGCATTAAATCATGTTTTTTACGGTTGAAACTTCTCATTTAATTCACATCTACCAAATGTAGACGCTATCAATGGTTCACATTTTTGGGTGAACTGTCCCTTTAAGACACAAAGTGTAGCTACTGCGCTCTGCCTTTGGATGGCAGTATATCTACAGTTAACCTGCTTCTAACTGAACGTCTGCCAGAAGATGTGTGATAATAATAATAATGCATTAACAGATGAACAAGTGAACTCTTAAGACTCGTGCACACCATGATTATTATCGCACGATTATCGTCGACGTTTAACACCTCACGACTAAACGAAGAGCGCTAATGTGAGCGTGCACACCAAATGCACAAAACCCTAGACAAAAAATTGTCGTTTATTTAAAAAAAAAAACACTTAAAAACTGTCCAACCAATGAGATTGCAGCTTTTGTTCATTGTTGAAGTTACACTAAAACACCACTTGGTGGCACTCAAGCACAAAACGATCTAGCCGATTACGCAGAAATTTGTTCTGAGCTCTGTTTAATTTTATTTCATGGCACGCGACTTTTTCCTGCAAATATTTGAATAGGGCTGAGGCTCAAATCGTATCCCTCCCTACTATATAGTATGCAAAAATGAACATAGTATTCGAATATATAGTATTCGGAAAAAAAAACAGCAGGCGAGAAGTACTCAAATGACCAACAATTTGAGTAAAGTGATGCTACTAACGTAGATAGATCACGTCATAACGACAAATGACATTAGTACATTCGAATTCCATTCATTCTATTAATTTTCATACTATATAGACAGTAAAGTAAAAGTAAAGTCAAAATCAAATACAGTATTACATCGGAATTCGTACATACTTTAGTATTCAATTTTTCATGCAGCTCAGGTGTTTGTGTGTATTAATTAATATATACTTATCATATTAAAGCGCATCAAAGTAAAGCTTTTTAAAAATTAAAAA